ATGCGTCATTAACATTATGTCATTATCCGTATGTCACGTCTCGTCGCGGTTGCTAGATGCGTGTATCCTTTTTTTGGAACTCTCTGTATAAACCAACTGCGCAATTAACTTAAAACAACCCTCAGTCCGTGCAATGCATTTTATGCCAAAATACTTGTTGCAAACTCTGAAAACGCCTCAATCACCTTCCTTTAGCCGGCACCCCGTGGCTAATATAATACGGCAGGAACTTAATGGGTAATTTTTACTCAGGTTAATTCAAATACATCAAGAATAAACTAACGTATAAGATTAGAATTTGGAGGTTATGTGTACATTGAAGCTACACTGACTGTCACGAAAAAATAGTTGTTTATCTACTAGGTGACATAATTGCTATAATTTTCCATTACTAATATAAACAATATAAATATGTTGAAGTAAAATTGGGGGGTTACATTCTAAGACTATTTAGGATGCTATACTTTACTTGTGTAGACGTGTGTTTTACTTATTCGTATCATACAATCAGACTTCATATAGTATTATACGTATTTATATCCGGTAATCCTTATAAAAGCAAAAATAGAGTCAGAAGATTCTCAGATTTTCAATAAAAGCTGTTAGGTACTGTTAAAGGTTTGCAGTTCCAACTATGTCCTAGTTTTACGTATGTTCAATTGTACGACTTGCAAAACCTCATTTTTCCCGATATTGTCGTAAATTAAATTAAATTAAGCAATTGTACGCCTTGAGATTAAGCGCGAGAGTAGTTCACTACTCAAGAGTAGTTCGCTGAGTAGTCCGATGAACGCCGTTTAAAAGTAACCAGCGTAATTGTTTCGCATCAAGCGACTGAGAAAGTATCGTTGTTTCCTACAACGATGGCTGCACCGCAGAATGGTGTCGCTAAATGGGTGAGATGTCCGAACCAAGACCTATACTCCGATTTATAGATAGTGGCACTTCGAGCTAACATGCTGGAAGAATAGTCAGAACCCTTTCATCCAATCGAGATCTCCAAAACCAAAAATTTAAGTCTTAACGAAGCTCCTGATTGAATAACAGCGTTCCCCTGTCCGTCCAGCTCGTGATCTTGAAAGTCCATTACGGTGAAATCGGAGATAGCGGAGGACAGTTTTGCAAGACGAAGTCGAGGCCGTAAAATGAAACCCAAGGTGTAATATCATCACCTTCATTGCTGACGTAAGTACATTTGCTGCTGCTTCTTAGAGCACATGCTCCAAATGCCCCCTCTCATATCCAAATGCCCCAAATTGTGCCTGAGGCAACATAACAGGGCACGCGTCGCAAAGTTTCGGCGTTAGGGACGGCTGCTGCTCACGTCTACTCGCACGACGACATCCTGCGAGAGGTCCAGCGGGGTCGCACACACACGATCCTTCACCTAACTCGGGAAGAAGGAAACCAGGAGGTAAGTTGTTGCGATGAGGCCGCTGCGGCCAGTTCAGCGTCCAGGGAGGTGCTCGTCGAGGTGGACACTGGTCGAGCAGCGCGCACGACACGACACTGGGGGAGTCGTAGGCTTCCGCGGCCGTAGTCTTGTGAATGATTTTGGCTGTCCGGGTGACGCCGTGTCGAATGCTATGTTGCCGACGTTTCGACCATCGTATCGTGGTATGGGGCCGTACATTGGGATAAAATGCCAAAAAACTGGCCAAAATTCGAAAACAAAGTTTCTAGTTGAGAATTTTGAACTCTTAGGTCGGCTACACTAATGTTGGCCACTCATCACGCAATCTTTATTATGATCGTCATCGTCCCATTGTGATCGCTAAATGTTCAGAACAAAACTAAAATGGTCCAGGACAAAGATTTTGTATTTATTAAGCTACTATATTGGCGAATAAAGCACTCAAAGTAACAATGACGTAACTACAAAGGCGAAGTCTATTGGACGACGCGTGTTAAAATGGTGTATACCAGAAATAGGCATGGGCACAACGATACGTGTATTTCACCGGCTAGTAATGAAGCTACACAGTTGGAGAAAGGGTGGGTGACGAGAAGGGGTGGGGTAATCTTTCGGCATTAGTTGCGTCGTCTGACAGACGACACCTTCGTAATCTAGGGTAACAGCTGTACGACATCAGACGAAAGTATTTTGTTTTTACCTGAACATTTGAGCATCGTCTCATTTTTAGCATGCAGTGCATCTAAAAGTAAATGCTTTTACTAATGAGTGTCTAAAATATTATTTGTTTACATGTATCAAATTCGTAATCAAACTCAATTACAGTCATTTTTGTTACATTCTTCCACGTTTTTCCAAAAGTCATCCGCCGTATTGAATCCGTTTTTTTGAATTTTTCATTTTTGATATATTCCTAATTAGTGAGGTCGAAAATCCCAACATAAGCCCCGATTTACCCATTATTTTGCAATTTGAAAGATATATTGAATTTTATAACGTTTTAGGCATTTCATCGCACTGTGTGCCGAGCTAAAACGTCGTCACTAACGTAGTGTTGTAATGAACAACATGCAGATGCACTTTAGCAATTGCGACCTTCCGTTGTGCATTATACAAACTGAGCATTTGAAGCGTTGAACAAAGAAGTTGCACAATGGATCAAAGAGTCCAGACTAAGGTGAGTAATTTGCAGCACGGTACGAAGTATTGTCAGAAAAAAACAACAGTTTCTGTTTAAAACCGGCTATTTTGTTGACAGTAAGATGAACTTAGACACCAACACATTAATTGATGAATAGGAGTTTCCGGGTACGTCAACGACTATGGTCTAATGGCCATAGTAAGTATAATCCCGTAAGTATAGTTGATGCTTTAAATCTATGAAAGCGGTAGTTATTACCTCGGCTGGATGTTCAGACCCGGCGCCGACGTACACGTCGGTTTGATGCCCCCCCCAACCAGGTATACCTCCAACCAGCGGGGCACCGCAGCTGTCGGAACAAGCTCGAAGCTCCTGACACGTGCGGTAGTGCATATAAGTATAACTGTATGTATGTAAGAGGTGAGGATAGGACGAGGAAGATGAAGGAAAGATCGTAGCCCGTTTGATAGGGTACTGCTCCGGTATTTGCTTGATGTTGACCGGAGAAACAAAGGAAAGCTACCGATCAGAGCAGCCGGCCGCTAGAATTCTCCTCGCGACGGTCTGAATTCGACCTAGCTCTCTAGCTAGTGTCGAAAATCCTGCCACTGTCGGGACCTGAACCCAAGGACATCCCGGTCAGAGGCACTGCTAACACCATATAAGGTAAGACGTAACATCAAGGTCAGGCACGTGACGGTTACTGCGTGGCGTTAAAACTCCCTAGTAGTGCACGAATGCATCGTCGCGTTACATGCACAATGCCCTTAAGGGACGACACAACTTCTAAGAGCTACATGATCGTCAGATCCACAATTGGGGCAATCTGGGACGTGGCAATATGGCCTGATGATTTGATCGCCCAAAATGTAACCAATAGATTCATTGTCTAACGATCCTGGTTGTTGGTGCGCCGCCATGAAATAGGGATTTTCGTGTGTCCCTCAAGGGCAATTGTGCGCAACGAAGACCGTGTGAATGAGTCCTCAGGGGTCCACAACGCGGTCGCGGCAAAGTCGCCTTCATTTGCTCGCAACACGCCGTCCTCGGAGGAAGCCTTTGCACCGGCGGCGCCCAACCCTCGGGCAAAGCCCCAACCGCCGCTCGTGGGCCCGTCCTGCGCAGTTTGCAACACGGCCTTCCGACGAGGGCCCTTCGCCGCGATAACACGTTCCCCGCAGCGCATTCGGGCAGCGGGAGGCCGCATAACGTTGCCCTTCATAAACGATCACCCGTTCAATCTCAAACGTGGCTTACGTTGAGTTTCTGCAAGCTGCAGCAGGCGCATCAATCGTGTTTTTAGGGTGATTATGAAACTGTCGCCCTCAATGAAATCGACGTTGGCCCCTCTACTATGCTGCATACGATACTACCTTCCGTGTGAAGATATAATTCATTTTATTCAGTAGGGTAGGTAGTTCTAGATAGTTCCATCACATAAATCAAAGATGCGTCCATTTATCTAAAAATAAAAATATTACTTAAATCTACAGCATACTACGCGTGATACTGTATTTTTGGGCGCAATCTGCATTTCGATAATGCGCTGTTATTGGATATGGTCCATAGTTGATGGGACTCTCTGTATACTACGGTTTTAGTACAATGCGCCAAGGAAGGTTCTCTGCACGAAGCCGAACCAGGGCCTCCTGCTTAAAATTGCAATTATGTTGGTAGCAAACAGATCAATGAGAAACAAGTGAACGCAACAACACTTCCAGCATTTTTTACGATTGTGGTGAATACACAATTTACGTCTTCAAGCTGCAGCTAATACTAACAACATAATTTCCGTTGCAATCGCTCGCACCAGCAAGATGCCACTACGGAGAAACATTCCTGGCGCGCTATAGTATACTGGTGGGCAGCAAAAATTCATTTTTGCATTTTTCAGTCAAAATAGAAACTGTTTCATTGTTTTTCGATTTGTCCCGATATCTAATGATATCTCCGTCGCTGTAGAAAGCTACATTGTTTGTCCTCAATTTCCGCGCGCATTGGAAATTAGTAATATAGATTGTAACGCTACAGGAAAAATATCGATTTTTAGACAGAAAATCTCGCTTTACTGATCAATAATGAAAAAACAGGATTTTTCGTGCTCCTACATGAAGTGAATTACCTACGCGAAGTCAGTTGGTGTAGTCAGATTCCATGCTTGTGGGTCTGTAAAGAAAAGAAAGTTGTTTTCCGCAGTCCGTCTGTCTCACCACTTGTCTGCCCAAAACATTAGCGTTTCAACATTTCACAGGATTTTCACCAAAACTGATACCCATATTCACCGATCGTTCTGGCTGGTGTCGGGGTCCCTAGAATTTACCCGAATATTTTAATTTGGGGGATATTTTACATGAATTCCAAACGGATTTTTCAAAATTTTCTCACATCCTCAATTCCTTTTTCCTGGCATATTTTGATTGAGTAGAGGAGTATAAAAGGCACATCTCCGACGGAATTTCACTGAAGTTACTGTATTTTCGAAAATTGCACAAGTTAAAACGTTTTTGAACCCATTCCTATAACTACATTATAAAAGCACATTTTTTACTTTCATGTGTCTTTTTACGTGGTACGAATAAAATTTTGTAACCCTGCAACGAAAAGAGCAATTTTTCCCCCACAAAAACTCGTTTTGTGGGTCCGTGATACCAAAAAGGAGTATTCTTGCTTCTGTATGCAATAAATTACTTTCTGGAAAACAAAATGTGTCAGTATCCAGCGTTCTTAATACCAAAAAGTTTGAAACCGAAAACTGAAACAGAAACTGAATCAGAAGCGATCAGACCGAAACAGAAACTAAGGGCCGAAGAACAGAAACTTAACAGAACAGAATCTTCAGCAAAGTGAATATTCCCCGATCAATCTGACTCATGTAGCGCCCCCGTAATGAAATCGTTTCGCAAAAAATTTGAACTTTAAATAATGTCACTCACGATGTTTTACAATATTAATACTTTTCTTGTTATATTGAGTGAGTTCGTGACTATTAAAAAGAATCGTAGACAAGGTTTTTAAAAAGACTAATTTTTTTCTTATTTTTTTTTCCCACAAATAGAGTAATGTGTTTTTTAAAAACATTGCATAGATAATATTTTCATTAAAAGTGGAATTTAGAAAATTGCAAAAGTTAATTCTTTTTCGAATCTGTCCCCCCTTCATTGAAGCTAGTCAGCTCCTTCTAGATGAAATCTATGTCTCAATACTAGATCTTTAAATTATTTTATAAAGTACATATTTTTCAAATTATTAGTTATTCTCGTTTAATTTTGATTTTTATAGTAGAGGGTCAAAGTTTAAATGTTTTTCGAATCTATCCTACACTCTCAGTATTGAAGCGAGATATTTCTTTCTTAATTCAATATATTTTCCAATATTAGATCTGTAAATAATTCTTTGTGCAGTTTGTTTCAAAACATTAGTATCGTAATTTCGCGTTTGCTGTTTTTCAAGTGATGCCTGAAGTATTAGAATAGAAGGTGCAATATAATTTAAGGAAACCGTTACCAATAACACGAGAAAGTATGTTCTGTTGTAGCATAACTAATTTGATTTTTTTTTCAAATTTAGATCCTTAATTAATGCCATGTACAAAGTTTTCGCGTAATTTTGGATGAAATGTTAACGTATTTCTTTTAAATTGTCACCAAGATTTTCTCCGACACGGCTTCAATTTTATTTAATTTTTGCTTAAACATAGCCATTTTAGCTGAATAATAAGGTATAGGTTAAATTTTCATTAAAAATTCTTGAATTTCGAAAATTGCAAAATACGAGGGAAGAGGACAAGCGGTGGAAAAGTTTTCACAAAAGCCTCGACGTATTTGGTAAAATATTATTTTATTATTCTTAACCACTCATCCATTGTCTTTTAAGGAGGAAGT